TGTGTGTGTGTGTGTGTGTGTGTGTGTGTGTGTGTGTGTGTGTGTGTGTGTGTGTGTGTGTGTGTGTGTTAGTGTTAGACCTTTCTCACTTCTATTTACCAGGAGTTGAACAAGCGGCAAACCCAGAAGGACCTGGAGCACGCGATGCTGCTCAGACACCACGAGTCGATGCAGGAGCTGGAGTTCAGGCATCTAGCGACGATTCAGAGAGCCCGGGCCGATCTGATCCGAACCCAGCACCAGACGGAGCTCACCAACCAGCTGGAGTACAACAAGAGGAGGGAGAGGGAGCTGAGGCGCAAGCATGTCATGGAGGTCCGACAGCAGCCCAAGAGTCTGAAGGTACAGTTTTATCATTTAACTGCATCCACAGACGAAGCAGGAAAACAAAAAGCTAACGGCTGGTTTGCTGTTCTTTTTTTTATTCTGTTTAGTCCAAGGAGCTGCAGATTAAGAAGCAGTTCCAGGATACATGTAAAACCCAGACCAGGCAGTACAAGGCACTCAGGAACCACCTGCTTGAGACCACACCAAAGTCCGAGCACAAGGCCGTGCTGAAGAGACTGAAGGAGGAGCAGACCAGGAAGCTGGCCATCCTGGCCGAGCAGTACGACCACTCCATCAACGAAATGCTTTCCACGCAGGCTGTGAGTAATCAAAGTTTTATTGTTACAGGGCGATTAAATAATGAGGTGCACGTAGAAGCTAAAATGGACAAAAGAAAACTTTCTAGTTTAAAAGAGAAAGAAAGGCTCATTTGGTTCTATTTTACATTTTGTGTGTATAGTGCAACAACCCCACATTTTTTGAGTTTAAAAAGCATAAGAAATCTAATCCTTGTGTATAATGCTGCCCCTAATTTCATACAGACCTCAGTATTTTTCAGTCCCTCTAATAATTAAACTGCTGGATTAATAAATAAAATGATCTTCATTGTTGTTATTTTCGTTCCGTTTGACTTGCGTCTCCTCAGCTGCGGCTGGATGAGGCTCAGGAGGGGGAGTGTCAGGTTCTTAGGATGCAGCTGCAGCAGGAGCTGGAGCTGCTCAACGCCTACCAGAGCAAGATCAAGATGCAAACAGACGCACAGCACGACAAGGAGAGGCGGGATCTGGAGCAGAGGGTGTCTCTGCGGAGGGCTCTGCTGGAGCAGAAAGTAAGGCTTTCATTTTTAGTTTCTTTTCATTTCCATAGAAAACTTTTTTTAAAGGGTCAATATTGTGTGTTTCTCAGGCATACATTTAAATACTATACCATAATAAAGTATCTATGTCACCTTTAGCTGTTATTAAAATGCTGTTTTTATGTTTAAATAGAAAATAAACTGATCTAAACGCCTTGAAATTGGCCTCTGTCTCTTTAAGAACCACCTTCCGCTTCTGTACCGCCCATTTCAGTGC